TCTTATCGATCTACACCCCCCCCCCTCAGAGTAACATTCGTCCAAAGCAGAGGCGAGAGAGTGAGAAAGGAAAAAGAGTCCAAGCGCCCATCCATCCGAACCATTCCCTCCAGGCAAAACCACACCCCAAAACCCATCCAAGCATGACTTGCAATTTACTCTGCCACATGCCTCAATCACCGAAACCGCGCGCCCTTCACCGTCTTTTGGAGTCGGTCGGATCCCCTCCCCCGTCCTCGAATAACCGCGCGAAATCCATCATCCGCCTGGCCCCCTTGAAGAGCCAGCCCCCTCCGTTTGCGCTCCTTTCCAGACGACCAATCGCAACCTCTCCCCCAGCCACTTATGATGGGCCAGGGGGTGCTCGTTCTTTGTTTTTCCCCCCCCGTTCCCCAGAGGTAATCACAACGAGGGGTTGTCCCTTGGCTTGAGAGCCATCGACCCCTCGCTCCAATGTCAAGGGTGCAGTGACATCACCCCGCCTGTGGGCTCATGCAAGTGCTCGCACGCGCGCTCAGGTTCGCATCTCACGTTCCCCTTGCCCATGCCTTGCCTCGTGGGGGGCTCAGTCTCCATCGATCGGCCATGGTGAATGTCGTTGAGCATGGCTGTGTCCGTGATCGTGGCGACATCAGCCTTGTCGCGGACGGGCAATATCTCATCACTTGTTTATTCACCCATGTGATTTTCGTCAAATGTCGAAATTTTGCCCCGGGTATCTATTCTCAAGACTCTATCACATCCTGCTTTCGCTTTGTAGTACAAGAATTCCTCTACCCAAACCACTTGACCGCCACAACCAACATCCTCACGGCTTAGCACGTTTCCAAGCGCTGTCATCGACCATCTAATGTACCGAGCAGCAGGCAGAGTCCCTGCGGACCACCCACCGGCGCATACACCGCACCCTCAGCCTGCCTCAACCAGTCGCCTAGGCTAAGCCAACGTCCACGTGCGCAACATGAGGCCGTCGCTGAAACCCCTTTGCATCATGGCCCAACGGCCCAAGCGACAGCGATGGCAGACACCGCTCCTTTCGTCTGATCTCCTTTATGGCCCCTCATGCCCCGATCTCACGTAGGAACGCAGCAATTTCCTCCTAGGTATCGTCTATCTGCGTACCGTCCTCGTCATACTCAACGTCGTCGAGTACCACGCTCTGGCCGTCGGCCGAGCACTTCTTTGCCATTATGCCTTTGACCAGTCCGGAATCTGGCCGTAGGATCGCGTACATTGACGACGTCACTGCAACAGGACCTGCTGGGCCCTCCGTACGAGACGATGCCTTGATCCACGCCAACTGTCGTCCAGCGATATTCCAGACGAAGGAACTCGAGGACCTGTAGTACTCCTTGAATGTCGTCGACGCCTTGAGGAGTGCCCAGGTATCAAACGGCGGGGCCGACGAGCCAGCAGCCAGGTATATCTTCAATTTCTCGTTTCCGGAGGCACTCTCAGGCACTGCGAGGGACTGCCACTGGTTGTGTATCGCCTGTACCGCCTCAGTGTACTTACCCCCGGTTTTGGGAATATTGCTCCACTGTTACCTGATGTTTCTTATTTCAGTTGTGAGGTAATCATTGATCACCTTGAAGCTCGACGCTTCTGCCTTCTTCTCACCCAGGGGCATGGACGTCTGCATGAGCCTTTCAAAATCGTCAAACGGCCCCAAGAGGTCCTTATCAAAGGTGACAGCCTCATTTCCGAGCATGCTGTTGAAAGCCTCCATCTCTTGGTCGACCAGAGGTAGAGCCACACGGAACTTGAGATAGTCCAAAACATGTTCCTCGTCAAGTTTCCCGTCCTCTAAGGACCTTTGGTTATGATTGACACCGGTTTCAGCCTTGTAACGTGGTTCGGGGAGGTTCTGCAACCCATTTTTAAGCAGTCCTTTGCAGAAGCGAACCCACTGGTCTCGACCAAAGACAATGCCTTGCTTGGCCTGGTCGACCAGGTTGCCCACAAGATGCGAAAGTACAACGGCATCGTTGTTGTCGATTCCGTTGTAACCATAGCACAGTCTTTCTTTGTAGGCCGTGCAGATGCCGAGGAACTGTTCTTTCATGTTGAATGTGAAGCTCTCGTACATAAACTCAGCCACAGCCCGGTCCATGTTGCTAGAGTTATTCTGGACCAGATCTTGAAATGTTCCCTTGCGCTTCTCGAGGTAGCCAAGCGCGAACAAGTCCGGAACCACAGGGTATGCGACGTTTTGAAAGCTGTTGACAATTGCTGGGTCCCAACAAACCCAGGCCTGGTCGCCGTCGTAGTCTCCGCCTGAGAGCAAATCAGCCAGGGGACTATCACCCTTGATTGAAAATACAATGACGTCTTTCAGATGGCGAAGCTCCGGTCTGAAGACTGCCCTAACACGCTGGATATCACTGGGGAAATGGGCCGGCGCTCTTGCCACCAGGACGTCCATCCCATGGAGAAGCGTATCAGAAAACTGTCCGTCGGGGTCCATGAATTTCGTCGAAAATCCGAGATGAATCTCTCCTTCTTCGAGAACACCTTTAAAGTCAACGACCATCTTAGCGTATGTGGAGCATCCAACTTTGATATTCATCTTGGATTTCAACAGTTCGCACTTGCGAAACGCCATTTTATACGACACCTCTCGGAGAAATGAGAGTTTCTTGGGCCGGAATCCAGCATCGAGCAGCATATTGACCCGTTCAGCCTCGTTGTCGGGCAGTCCGGCAAGGAAGCGAATATTCTGGTCCCTTACGCGGTCACTACGGTAGCCCTGGAAGAAGTTTTCGTGGATCCATTGTCGAAACTGTACAGGATCGTTCATGGATGAGCGCTGGCGTGCAAGCTCTTCTTTCAAGGTCGTCCGCAGGCATCCAGCTATAGCGTTGCGCATCCGGTGTTTGTCTGTTCCTCGCTTGACGTCTCCATTGACGAGCACTGGGATGAATTGCATGTTCAGATTGGCTGCCCTGAGTGGCCGAGCCTCCGTCTTGACTTCGAAGGTACGGTGATCCTCGTCCCAAAAGTCGCACTCCCATTTGCGTTGCGATGGATATGTTTCGATCTCGAAGTCATCTTTGTTGTCCGGGTCGGTGCCAACGATCCAAACTCCTTTGGCGCTTCCGAACCGCCCTTGGTAGGCGCTAGGCGTGTCGGCCAGGCCCAGATACTCGGCTATGACTTTCGCTGCTTTGGGTGACATTTCAGCAACGCCGTCGTTCATAACCTTTCCCGACTTCGAACATATGTCCTCCGCATGGTGAATAATCTGGCCAGGCTCAAAGACAATGGTTGGGTAGGTTCGGCTAAGACCTATTCATTGTTAGGCCTGTGTGCAAGATTCCTGGGGTACTCACTTACTCAGGGCTAGACGTGAGAACAGCTTCAAAGATGGCTGAGCCGCATTGGCTCTGATGGCGATTGCCCACTCCAGCATGTCAGTCAACTTCATTTTCGTTCTTCCGTTGACGTTTTTGGCGTCTGCTTTTGCAGGTATGCGGTTGCTTGGACTGAAGGAGTGACCGCCCTCGGCAAAGCAACAGACACGACATTGCTTTAGTCTAGTTTTCGTCGTGGCTTTACCTTCCCAGGCCGTAAGGCCCTGAGCTAAGCCAGCAGTGACCTTGTCAACATCTCTCGTGAAGAAAGCAGCCCACTGTCTGCCCGCCAAAAAGTGCTTCTCGGTCGTTAGCCACTTGATGATTGTGTCCGTAGCACCGTTAAGGCGTGTGAGTTGAGGGGGAACTCCTGTGGCAGTGAATGACGGGAAATTCATCTCCAGAAACCGGTCTGAGCCGAATCGACGACCTAGGCGATGTCCCAAATCAAGCTTCAGTGGTTGAAGCGAGACACTGAAGAGAGGACCTATGGGGGCTGTATTCCAGGATAAATCAATGGAAATGCAGACGGCCCTGCTCTGTGGTCCTTCAAAATTACCATTGCCAGCGGTCCACGCTGCTTCAGGGCAAGTCTCAGGGAATGCCTTGCCTTGGAATGACGAGTGCTTGTACAGCTCAGCTCGTAAAGTGTGTTGATCGACCCAACGGTCACTGTAACATAAACCAGTCAAGTGTTCCAGGTCAACACCACAATGCAGAGCAATCCGGGTTACCTCCCAGCAGACAGTCAAAGGCGCCTGGTTCAGGAACTTTGGCAGTCTGGGCCACACTTTTCTCAGTCTCTCCTTGAGACCAAAAAGCGATTCTAGACTGGTGGTTTCCGAGTTCTGAAAACCGTCCTCTTCGAACAGCCCGTGCTGGTTTACGAGATGGTCCTCGCGGTGATGCTTTGATAGTGGTTTGTCGAGTTGTGCAAGGCTCTCCTCATGTTTCGAGAGTGAGTCTTGCAGAAGTCTGGCAGCATCCGAAGCGGCATCGTATTGTCTCGAAGAGCATTGTGGGTTCGGTAAAGAATCACCCCGTTGTCTTTCCTGACTGCTTGCCTCAACCGTTAACTGACTGCCTTGAAGGACATGATCAACCTCTTGTGGTTGTGAGAAGACGCTGGAAGTGGGTGTTGTATTGCTTGTGTTTGCGGACCTGTTGTAGAAACTGTGGGACGACTTCTGAGGCTGATGTAAGGTCAATGGCGCCCTGGAGGCAGTAACTCTGTCGACAGAGGTTTCAAAGGGAGAAGTCACTGTTCTGATTCGGACGGGCACATCGTCAAGCGCGTTTGCGTCTCCTTCCCGCTGTCGGGATCTCTTGCATTCCCTATTTGGTGCTTCAGGGTAGGCTCCACCAGAGTTTCTCTTGTACGGTCTTCCTCCTGCATCGGTCACCGCTTTGTGGATGGTGCCGAAAGAGCGTTCAAGTGGTCCGTGGGCTTTCCAGGCTTGAGACAGGAGGTTATAGAGGGTCGTCTGCAGAAACTCGGTCTCCGTATTCGGACCAACTTGAGCGGTAGAAGGCTCCTGCGGCAGTGAAAGCGTCCCTAGGAAGGCGCCACGTTCGTGCAGCTGAGTATTGGGGGGCTTGGCGGCACACCCGTGTAGTTGATCCAGAATTCCTTGGAGGACAGTCCGTTCCTTGAAAAACAGATAGCGCAAGCGCTCCTGAATCTTCCCTACGCGTTCAGCCTGGGGGTCAGAATTTGCATTTATCCGGCGCTCGCGGGCTGTCAGTTTCGAGTCTGAGGCGTGAATGCCAAGGCCATATTGTCTATTGAGGTTGCTCAAGAAGACACGGAAACCATCAGGCCTCTTCTTCGCAGGTGTTTGTTCTTTCGGGCGATGGACGCTCGCCATGGATGCTGATACAAGGTAGCGATGTTGGCACAAAACAGCGAGTTGAGGTAACAAGCGCTCAGCATTGGCCCAGGCTCAGATGATGGTCACCTGGGCTCACCAAGATTATTGAAAGTGTGGTGCTGGGCAAAAAAGTCCTCACAGCAAATGAACGCAAAGCCAAAACAAGTCCCAGCCAGAGACGTGCGGCCGAGCGGATACGCTTCAGCTGTCAGGAGAATCAGCAAGAGCTGGAGTGCGGATGTGATGGTCGAGGGCAGCTGATGGGGAGGATGAGAGTGGTGGAGGCAAGACACGGGGCGGACCGCTGGTTAGCACGGCAAGTGGGCGTGGGGGCGCGCAACGGCCTTCCCATTTTAGTGACGCGACCCTGGGCCCCGGGCTAATGCCTTCCTCCTTCCAGCCCTGTCTGCCCTGCCTACAGGCTGTCTGCCTTGTCCTTTTCAGACTGATCTGGAACCAACAATGCAGCATCATATAAGACAAGGTCATCGGAATTCTCTGTAAAACTTGAGCTGAGGGCGCAATGGCCAGCTTCGTCGACATCTTGAATCAAATTGTCTCACAATAAGGATCATGACAGCTGTTGCGCGACCTACTCGACTGGGCCTTTTAGGTCGCCATCCAACACCTTGTTTCCCTTGTTTGCTTTCGAGGTGTGGAACGTGGCGGACCAACACCAGCTACAAACCTAGACATCTCACAGAGAGGAGCCTGCAACCAGCGTTATTGCCGTTAGCCGTTCTACAACCTCCCAAGAAGACGGGTAGTGACAGGTGATGAGCTGTCAGGTGTGGACGCATGAGATGACTTGCTGTTTCCATTGACAATCCTCATTTGATGCATTGAAGGCAACTTGGCGGGGACTTCAGCTCGCTGTACATTGGATGGACTTCTTTGTTTCAAGAATTCGACGGCAGTGGTCCGAGACTCAGTATTGTTTCCCACCACCGGCGTGGCGGGGAATGTCACCTTCAGCTTGTGTGCATGTAGTCTTTGGCAAACTCGGGAGTCAAAGTGCTGGGAGCTCATGTGCGAGATACTATTGCTGGACCTATTCAAATGGCGGCTATGCCCCTGTTGGTTGCCAGATGCAGCCAGGATGACAATTTCAAAGAACAGTTGTACTTTGAGTGGTTCCTCTTACTTCTTTAACTGGTATTCAACGCTCGGATTGACCGTGTAAGAGGGTTGCAGAAATCTATTGAGGCTGGCTCCTCAACCCAGAGACTACGGTGACAAGTCGTGAGACACCACACACATGCAGCTACGAAATGATCATAAAAGGCCTGGCACCATATTTGAGATGGCTGCGATATATCATTCCCTCACATGAAGCGCCTCTCACAAAGCCACCGTTCAGCCGAGAGGGAACTGGCCAGCCAAGCCTCCAAACCACAGCCTCGCCCAGCACACAGCGCACGAACCATTAACCCAAATGGCGGTGGTATCAACAAACCAAATCATGATTTGGGCGCAATGCCCGCCTCCCCCTCCACTCCTCCCGAATGCAGAGAACCTCCCATGCAATTTCAATCAACAACGGAAAAACAACAACCAGAGAACAACAACAGGCAAGACCGAAAACGCAGAGAACGCCCCCCTACTTCAGCTGCTTCAGGATCTCGGACAAGAAATCCTCAAAGCTGAGGGTGATGTAGCCGTCGCGGTCGTCGTCGTACTTCTTGAAAACATCGGTCATGCGCTTGAGCTGATGCAGGCCTGGACAAAGAGGTCGAAGCTCATGACGCCCTTCGCCGCCGCTTGTCATAGGTGCGGAATAGCAGCTCGACGAAGCCGGGGCTGAGGCCGCTCCTTCTACGACGAGGTGGTTGTTGAATTCGACGAG